AGTGGGCCCGAACCCCTATAGGACATTTCACACCCTTAGAGCCATAAGCCAAAGCAATTGCATCGACGATCCAGTGTGACAACCTTTGCTTGGACACTGGCAGGACTTTTGTGCGCTCTCCAAAGCATACAAATAGCTGGTCCGAGAGCCTGAACTGTCTAGAGCGCTCGATATAAATGCGCACCGCACGTACAGGGCACAACAAAAGTGTATTAAACGGCTCCGGCCCGGCCAGTGTTTCGGGACGGAAAGCAGTTAGTGTTATGACCTGCGCTTTAGATGGAGTCGAAAGCACTTTAGGCACATAACCCTTCCTAGGCTTTAAGTTGAGTCTGCAATCACCTAGCCTGAACTCAATACACGAGTCATCAACTGACAGCACCTGCAGGTCCCCCACTCACTTAACAGAGGCCAGCGCGAGCAGGAGCGCTGTCTTGAGAGAGAGAGCGCACGCAAGCTCGCTGAATGTATGGGCTCGAACGGCATTTATTTATTATAGGTATTGGGTAGTTGAATGGGTCTTAGCCCCGCGACCCGCACCAATTTGTGAAAACTCTTCATTTATGTGCGTAAAGACGTCTAGTGGAAGGAGCCCTAGCCTCAGCGATAGTGTTCAACACGCGCTGAAGAAGTGCATCTGTTAATGGCAAGCTCCGTCAAGTGGCCAGACATGAAGGCTCCATGACTCTGGATTTGGATGCTATATTGTTAACTGTGCTTGAGAGAAGAGGTCTCTCTTCAGTGGGATAGTCCACGGAGGGCTTCTAGCATCTCCACCAGTTCTGGGAACCACGGCTGATTGGGCCATTTCGGTGCCACTAACAGAACAGATTCCCTTTCCTCTCTGATTTTGCAAAGCACGCGAGGCAGAAGTTTCACTGGAGGAAAAGCATACTTGCGTACTTTCTGCAAGCTGTGAGCTAGTGCATCCACTCTCAGGGGAGAGTGTGTCAGTGAATAAAACAGCGGGCAGTGAGTGTTCTCCGCTGATGCGAAGACATCCAGCTCCGCCCTGCTGAATACACTCCAAATCATATTGACTGTCAAAGGATGTAATCTCCACTCCCCGTGGATTACCCCGCTCCTCGACAGTAAATCCGCGCCGTAATTCAAGCGTCCGGGACATGTACTGCCCGGATGGAGAGGAGGTGTCAATCTGCCCACAGAAGAAGGTCTCTCGCCAGCAACAGCAGTGCTCGATGCATCTGTTGTAACAGTCTTTCTCCTGATCACTTGGCCAATAAGAACACCCCGGCGATACAGAGTCATATCGCGCCAAGGGGTCAGCGCATCCTAGCAGTCGCGCGTTACTTTGATGCGCAAGGTGCCCGTGCGCCATGCGCTCTGAGGCACCCGGCCCTTTAGCCAGAGCTGAAGCGGTCGCATATGTAGGAGCCCTAGTTTGTACACTGTTGAGGGGGCATCCATCTGGCCGAGCATCCTCTGAAAGTATTTCAGCGGGGGAGAGTGCCCTAACTTGAAGACTGCGAGAGAGCTGATCAGTTTTTGTGAGCGCTCCTCCGACAGACACACTCGCATATTTATTGAAATCAGCTTCACTCCTAAAAAGGAGATGTTCTGGCTCCAGCATGCTCTTTTGCATATTCACAGTCAGCCCTAAGCTCTGAAGATGAGCGAGGAGTCTGTGCTTG